ATGATCTTAGTGATCAGTAGGGATTCTTGTTCCCTTCACCCTGGGTTTCTATGTGGAAACCATTAAGTCTGATATCTTTAAAACTTAAAAGGTTTCTTTTTGAGCTGGGTGAGTATAATGCATCTGGAATGTCCAGATGTGTGCCGTTTGATAACAACACATGTTCAGATGATAGAATCAATCGAGGAGATCTGAGATCTCGTAGTCCATGGGATCGGTCGGCTCGATGGTGGTGTCGTTAGCATCAACTTGCAGGGCCATGTTGGCTTCAGCAGGTGCTTTCCCATGTTTCTGATAAAAATCGCAATAAAACTTGGGAATACGACAGTTCTTTGTCCAGTGATTGAACATTCCGCATCTGGTACAGGCAGACTAATTGGTTGGGTGGGCAGGGCGGTTTGGTTTAGAGATACCACGGCCTTTACCGGAACCATAACTGAGGTTATGTCGATTGCCACGTCCGTTTCCGCGTCCACGCTTTCCATGTCCACGATCTGAGGATCTGTCTCACTGGACATTGTAGGATTCCTTGCGGGAATCTGGTACTGGAGCCGATCCCGGGGGCCTCTGGGCACTGTTCCTCATAAATAGCTCGTTGTTTTTTCTCGGCCAAGAGCAAACAAGATAACAATGTTTTGGGTATGGAAGGTGGATAATGTTTTCTCGAGGAGATCATTATCAGACACCTCTTCACCACATAGTTTCATGATTGAAACTATCCGAAAGAGTTCGGAGTTGTAGTCATCCACAGATTTGTAATCTTGGAACCGGAGTTCCTTCCAGTCAAACTTGGCTTGTGGCAAGAGCACCGTTTTCTGGTGATCATACCGTTTTTTCAGGGCCACCCAAAGTTCGAGTGGGTTCTCAAGAGTGAGATATTGCTGTTTGAGGCTTGCGGCCAAATGATGGCGGATATGAAATATCGCCTGGGACCGGTCTTTATCAGATGCGGTGTTATCCGCTTTGATACACTCACCCAGTCCCTTTGAGTTGAGGAAAATCCTGGTGTCCAGGGCCCATTCGAGATAGTTTTCACCGGAGACCTTGAGGGCCTCGAACATGAAATTGATTTCATTAGGGGTTTGTTAAAATAATAGTTGGAAAACTTTCTATTTTAGGCAAGTTTCTATTTGAGGAAACTTTATATTTGAGGAAAGTTTCTAATTTGGGAAACTTTCTAAATGAGGAAAATTTTTATTTTGAGGAAACTTTCTATTTTAGGCAAGTTTCTATTTGAGGAAACTTTATATTTGAGGAAAGTTTCTAATTTGGGAAACTTTCTAAATGAGGAAAGTTTTCTTTTCGGGTCATTTGTTATTTGAGGAAGGTTTCTATTTGAGGAAACCTTCTAAATGAGGAAAGTTTCTAATTTGGGAAACTTTCTAAATGAGGAAAGTTTTCATTCCGGGTCATTTGCTATTTGAGGAAAGTTTTTATTTGAGGAAACCTTCTAAATGAGGAAAGTTTCTAATTTGGGAAACTGTCTAAATGAGGAAAGTTTTCATTCCAGGTCATTTGCTATTTGAGGAAAGTTTCTATTTTAGGAGACCTTCTAAATGAGGAAAGGGAAACTTTCTAAATGAGGAAAGTTTTCATTCCGGGTCATTTGCTATTTGAGGAAAGTTTCTATTTTAGGAAACCTTCTAAATGAGGAAAGTTTCTATTTGAGGAAAACTTTCTAAATGAGGAAAGTTTCTATTTGAGGAAACCTTCTAAATGAGGAAAGTTTCTATTTTAGGAAACCTTCTAAATGAGGAAAGTTTCTATTTGAGGAAACCTTCTAAATGAGGAAAATTTCTATTTGAGGAAAACTTTCTAAATGAGGAAAATTTCTATTTGAGGAAACCTTCTAAATGAGGAAAGTTTCTAATTTGGGAAACTTTCTAAATGAGGAAAGTTTTCATTCCGGGTCATTTGCTATTTGAGGAAAGTTTCTATTTTAGGAAACTTTCTCGGGAATCGTAAATTTTAAGGATACGGAACATAAGTTCGGTTTAATGGTTTAAAGTTGGACCGGAATATTAGATTCCGGTTTGGGCCGAATTGATTTCCGGTTTAGAATAACCAGTTTGAACCGGTTTACCCAGATTGAGATCCGGTTATTATTTTGTAACCGGTTTGATAATCGGTTTAACCGATGAATCGAATTGATATTCGGGTTTAGGAGTTAACCGAGAATGATTTCCGGTTTAGGGGATACACGAAAATTGCCGTTTTGGATTTGATTTGATTTAGGTTTTAAGATTTCGGCCATGGCTTAGGGTTTTGTTTTTACCTTTCACCAATTGGGGTTGAACGGATTGAACCGGGAGCTAAAGACCTCGGTAACTCACGCTGCTGCAACGAACCGCAAACAGTACCACGATGAACAGTACCGCGATGAACAGTGTCGCGATGAACAGTGTCGGCGATGAACAGTGTCGGCGATGAACTGTGCCGCGATGAATAGTGCCGGCGATGAACAGTACGGCGATGAACAGTACGGTGATGAACAGTACGGCGAACAGTGTCGATGAACAGTATCGATGAACAGTGTCGGCGTGAACAGTATCGGCGAACAGTGTCGATGAACAGTATCGGTGAACAGTGTCGGCGTGAACAGTGTTTTTCGATTTTTTTAGGGTTAGAGTTGTTAAGAGCAAACTCGTGCTGATAACGTGTTGTGAAACTTATTGTTATCTCATACCATTCCATGAATAATGATACATATATATAGGCATATAAACCTAGGGTTTTAGAGTACATAATGAATAACCCTGATGGGCTTATTGGGCCCGGTTATAAGTCCAATATGATGTATTATAACAATGTCTATATATTAATTTGTAATTTATTAATACAATTATCAATAAAATCTAATGGACTAAGGCTCTATAACATTATTACTATTACTAACTAAATGTATTTTTTTTTTGTCAACAGCTATATTAGATTGGCTCAGATAAGCCAATGTTGTGGAAAGTTGTTTACATAGGTGATAAGCTGCGGCTGGGTACGAACGCTTCGTGTCAGTTTATCCGCTTTCACATTCTTATTTCGAGAAACTAAAGATAATGAGAATTCGTCAAACTCTTCCTTGTCACTCTGAATCGCCTCTAAGTATGTTGCGAACGCTGGCCACTCTTGCGGGGAAGACACCATCTTCACCAGGTCGGAGCAGTCGGTAAAGAAAGCTACTTCTCTCTTGTCTTGGCCGATCATACATCGCATCGCCCAAATTAATGCTTCGACCTCTGTGTGAAGTGAGGTTAAGCTTCTTCAAAGATTAGCAGCTCCCATGTCTTGCCATCATTCGGGGTAGAACAAAACCAACCTAATCTGGAAAACCGATCACTCTCTTTCCAAGACCCATCTACATAACCCAGAAACCCATTTCCAGACTGCCTTGGTTGGTCAATTCTGGAATGTGAGTTGATATTCCCCACCACCGAGTCTACAACGTCATCCGGTATTTCCACCTGAGCTAACTGCCAAGCTTGCTCTTCATTTTATGCTAACCGTAAAATCTTCGGTGGACTTTGATCCACATTATTATAAATTTTATCATTTCTAGCTTTCCATAAATACAAAAGTATCCATGGAAACGTCTCTTCATAAACATCCGATGATATTCGCCAAAATAAGTAATTCATGTTTGCATATAATGAACCTGAAGGAAAAACTTCGGGGGCCGTTGGAATCTGCGATAAAGCCCATTTTTGGCGTGCAGGCGGACATTCAAAAAGGACATGGTTAATTGTCTTTTTAGTGTCTCCACATCTATCACAACCTACATCGCAATTTACTCCGCGTTTCCGGAGATTTGATGTAACCGAAACACACCCATTTAATGTCTGCCACATAAAATGCCTCATTTTAGGAGGATACTTTATCTTCCACGTGAGAGCTTTTAGTGGTTTAATATCTGGTCCGAAATATAATATCTTCCACGTGAGAGCTTTTAGTGGTTTATCTTCCAAATATAATAGGATCCTTTGGATTAGCAAGACGGGCTGTATGATACCCTAATTTAACCGTATATTAACTAAATGTATATAAAACTAAAAAGCCTAAAAAACACCATTACCTTAAATGTGTTAAACCATCATTCTTTCACATTTATCGGCTTAGTTGAATAATTTTATTCAGACTAGGAAAGTCGGATCGAATTATTGTTCTTATCTCACTTGTGATTATACAATCACGTTTGAACATGCAAATGAAATCAAAATAATTACACAAATGATGCTAAATAAAAGTTAAAAAAATATATATATTTCTTCTTCCCATAATGTTCCATTCAATCTTGATGGATTAAAAACACCTAAAACACCCTAAGCGCCTCCTTGAACTTGACCTTCATTTTCCATGGGATACATCTAAATTTTTATCATTTGAAATAAGAATGTCAATACTAAAACGAAACTTATACCACTTAACGACAAGAGCTATATTGCTAATAAGATCCTTGAACAAAATTGGTTAATAGAAAAATTTGTTTACCTTTGGAGAAAGAATGTTGCTCGCTAACATGTTGTATTGGTAGTAGCACATCCTTAAACTATATATGTAATTAAGCTGAATAAAATAAAATCGTTACTTTGGTACCGAATAACAATGGGTTTAGCCAAATTTTGAGAGAACTATTGAAACAATAAAAAAATAAGAGGCGAGAAGAGGCGGGAACATAATATTTTTACATATATAATATTAAGTACTCTTTTGGCTTTTTGACCATATGTCAACATATTGATAACTACTTACCTATTTTGTCACTATTCAACTAAGATTATTCACATATCTCTATGTAAATAAAAAATAAAGAAAATAATAATAAAAAGGTAAGTGTGGTACAAAAAACTGGAAACGCACATGCATAGAAGAAGAGGACCATAGGGTGTGGTTTTAAAGTGAAACCACAGTTGACTAACATTTTTATTTTATTTAATAATTTAAATATACAATATTCATTATATATTACACCTTGGTCTTAGATGGTATTCATAGAAACTCAACAACACCAATACATAAATTTCTCTCGGCTTTCAAAAGAAGAAGACGTTTTATAAAAGAAGGAGGCCAACAAATTTCTTTTGTTTTCATATCTTTTTGCATACGATTTCCACAAGGTAAACATGAGTTATTAATTTTGAATCATTAACTAATTATTTTATATATATATATATATATATCATTATTATTATATTTTTAGATGGAAAATGAAGTTATTCGAGATATAAAGAGAGTTCAGTGAGGAGTTAAAACATTTGTTACAATCATTCAGTTAAGTTATATATTTTTTTCAAAAAAAAAATTCAGTTAAGTTATATATGAAATTATTCAACTAAATTTAGGAATGAATAACCGAATAGATAAGGAAACTAATCATTGTTTATTTTTTTGTTGTTCAATGCAAAAATTATTTTGTAAAAATTATAACTAGTTAAACGGTTACAATACGTGTATAGTTGTAGTGATAATTTTTATTTATTTGTTTTTTAACGAAAAGAAACATTTATTTTTTCCATTCTGACCATACATAAAAACATGTTTAGTAATGTATACATAATCTTCTGTTGGGTGAAATTGAAAATATGCAAAATATGCGTTTTTCTGAAATTTACGTATAATTCAACTTTAAAGATTTTATTTGAAAATAAACACATATACTTATCATAAAGAAAAAGAAAGTGTGTATCAAAATAAACAAAAAAAATATATAGTAAACCTCAACGTACTTAAAGAATTATACTTTCTATTTTATTTATTTAATTTTGAGATTTTTTTAAAATATGTACTAATTTCAATGAATTAAATAAATGAACCTTTATGTAGAGTTTGTAAGTATTCTTTTTAAAACATGTAATGAAATAAAATAACAATAAAAATGTAAATGTAATTATATATATAATGTTGTGGAATTAACTATTTTTAATATCAAATACTACATGCAGATATGTCGTCTAGAGGTCGTTCAAACACAAATTCTTCCAGGCATAGAGATACAAATGCTCCCAGTGAAACTACTGCGAGAGTAAGTAAATTATTTTTTTCTGTTTTCTAAAAAATTTCATCGTAGGTATTTTGATTACTTTTACAGGAAAATAAAACTAATTATAGAAATTTTTAAAATTTGTAGACCAGACAGAGGTATAGATGGTCTCCTGAACAAGAAAAAACTTTGATTGAGTTGTTTGATCATGCAATTTCCATGACTAATTACACTCTTAAGGATCCTCCGCCTATTGGTCGAGAGTATATGGTTGAAAAATTTAACCTAGCATTTAACATGAGTCTAAGTTATGGGTTTTTCAAAAACAAACTTGATGAGTTTAAAAAAGCGTACAAGAGATGGAAAGAGCTCACAAGATACACTGGTATCACCGTCGATCCTGAGACATCCACGATTTATGCATCTGATGAGTGGTGGATGCGCGAGAGTTGGTAATATATATATAGTAATTCTTCCATTTATATTTACTAATACTAACACACATACACGTTATAATATATATATATATATATATGTTTTATAGGGATGCAAAATAACAACTAAGTTCAAACGACAGCCGCCAGAGTATTAGGATGTGATGAAACGATGTTTTGTATTACATGATGTTTCGTCGCAACCCCAAAATTCCTCCCGACAAAGAAGAGAAGATATAATGAACGAGGGACTTGATGATGATGCAACACATGATTACTCATACAACGATGATGGTGACATGCATCAAACACAAGTGCCCGAGACCCAAGAAGATGAAGAAGTGTATCGTGTCAGCGTTAATGATGATACACATCCTTCGAATGAGTTTGTGCCTAATACATTCCGAGTACCTACTAGAAGAAATGAGCAACAAAACAGAGTAAACTCGCAGTCTACTGTCAGGCGTGGGAATAGTTCACATCGGTCTAGTGGAAGTTCAGCAACAAATGTTGGAAGTGGTTCAAGAGAAAATCGTAGACGACAATCTTTTGAGACAACTATACAAGATACTATCAGTGGCTATAGAGAGTTCCAACGACAAAGTTTACAACAACTTCGGCCGGGAAATTTTGATCAAGAAGATTATGACGAATTCAAAAAGGCGGAAGCAATATTTCTTGCGCTACAACTTCCAAAGAAAACTAAATTCTACTGGGCATGCATCGATACGCTAAAAGAATTAAGATTTTGGCGGCGGTATTTCATTGATATAGCTGGAGGCACCGACGAAGATAAGATAGAACTGTTAGAAGCTATGACTAGTGTTTCTCGGAACGATCAAGATTTGCCAAGAAGATTGGGCTCAGGCCACTCTTATGGAGGTTCACATTCAACAAATCCTAATTATCAACAGTGGAGCTCACCACCAAACGCTCCTCAATGGGGAACACCAAACGCTCCACAATGGGGAACACCACCAAACGCTCCACATTATGGAACACCACCAAACGCTCCACAGTATGGAACGCCACCAAACGCTCCACAATGGAGCACACCACCAAACGCTCCACAATAGAATTCACCACCAAATGCTCCACATTGGGGATCATCGCCAAATGTTTCACATTGGGGTCTTCCACCAAACTTTCAACCTTGGCAGTAAAGTGGTGTTGGCAGTAACAAGTGTACCCATCTGATTGGTCAGATCGGTGGTTGTTTGAGTAAGCAAGGAAATTGCATCGCTCAATGCTTGCTGATCAGCCATAATTTCTTGGTTGGGAAAGAAAGATTTTGAGATTAAAGAGTTTTGTGGTAACTCTCCACAGGCGGCGCTAAAATGTGGATGTAGGATTCACACTCGATTATCTTTAAGTATTTTTGTGGAGAAAAACTCTTGTTAAATCAGGAAATAATTATGAGAATTTGAAAAGGAAAACAACCAAGAAAAGGAGTAAAGAAATTTGACGAAAGATGAAGTGCAAAATGCCTTGCGAAAAATAGTAAAGAGAGAAAAATGTATTGTATTGTTAGAAGTAATCAGTAATGAGATTCGTCCTCCTCAAACACATGCGTTTGAGGTTGTTTTTATAGAGAAAACATGATCAATGCGGTCATTTACTGCTCATAATCGTGTTGATCCGCATTGATCACGTAAGTTACATTTTGACCGAAACGGCTTGAATTTGAACTATCTTGGGCTTCGCGTGGATCTTCCGAACTCTTTCTTGTTGACTCCGAACTCCCGCGTCTTCACGCTGCCGCGAGCCTCGAACAATATTCTCCTCGCTTCGGCCTTTCTCTATGCGAACTGTATGTTGAATAAGAGCGAACTCCGTACTGGTAAAGATCGAACTCTTTTAGTAAACTGAATCGAACTCCCGACTGGTTAAGCTCGATTCTCATAACAAAATATCTTTAATTCCAAGAGGATTATTATGTAATAATGACGTGGACAGATCCAAGTGGATCCTACCAAAAATGTGTGGGATCCAACCCCAACATCCCGCACCGCTTGTTTTGAACAAATCGCACTTGTTCCGCATACTGCATTTTTTTCAACCGCACCGCTTCAAAACCGCACCGCACTACTCAATCCGCTTGTTACACACCGCCCGATCCGCTGTCACCATTCGGAGCCAAAATTATTTTATTCTGAACATAATTACATGGTGGAGATATGTATTTTTTTTTTTAACAGCATGGTGGAGATATGTTTATCCAAATTATTTAGATAGGTTTGAGAAAATGAGAAACTAAAGCGGCAAAGGCAAACGGTGGCGGGGAAAAACGTTTTAGGTTTTTTGACCATATTATAGCTTTAGTAATATATACGTATACAAGCTTGGAATATCAAAACAAATATCTCTATAATAACAAAATAATGCACTAATTTAGGATGAAACAATAAAATCTTTGGAACAAACTACTCTATAAGATACTCCAATGAGTTATTTTTGTTTTTTCTTATTCTTTACTTTATAAAATAAAAAAAAAATGAAACAAGAAGAAAACATGAAGAAAAAATAAAAGAAAGGAAAAAGGTAAAGAAGAAGGTAAAGAAAAAGAAAAAAAAGAAGGTAATTAATAATTACATAAACCTAACCAAACTTAAATGTTTTGCAATTAAATTCAATATTTAAGAATTAATAAATGTACAAAAACATTAAAGATATTCTAAATTCAAATAATCTTATGTCAACTTTAATGTAAAATATGCAATATAGCATTTAGTAATTGAGTTAAAAAGAAGTGAATATATAGTAACGAAATTTTTATAGAAAGTATATGTTGCAAAAGAGTTATAAATTGTTGTTGATATAGTGACAAAGGTGTCACATATTCTGTGGTATATATTTGCGTTAATTTTCTTGAAAAATAATCACAATCCATTATTGTTGGATATTTTTTACAAATTTTGCAAGACATTTTTACATGTAGTAAAAATGTTGCTAATTTGTAATAGAAAACTGCAGCAAATTGTTTTGTTGTTATTTTCCATTAAAATTGTAAAGTGCACTCATCATTGCAAAAATATAGCAGAATTTGTTATAAAATTTCAAGGAATACGGTTATTTCAAAAATATTGTTACAATAACACTATTTTTAGACACTTTTAGCTTCAAGTTAAAAACCAAACAAATAACTCACACACGAATTAAATAACCAAACCAGCACTAATCATATATATGAAAGTTGGCCAACTCTCTCCATATGAGTGTCACATCATCACACAAGAAAATGACTTTTGTCATTCTAACTTTCATTCTACTTATCATATTTTACTAAAAAAATTATCAATAGTCACTATTCGATAATGACTGAAAATTTATTTGTGTTATAGTTTAGTTGTTTGCTATCTACAAATCACCATATGATCTTTTCCTGTGTTTTGTCATCACTCACACAGTTCTGACAATTCACTTCCCGGAAGGTCACCCATCATGAAACTTTCACAGCTCAACCACGCTTAACTCTAGAGTTCTCTCAAGACGTTTGACCGAAAAGATAAGTGTACTTTGATGACATAGGTGGCCAAATCAATTCTTTTAAACCTCTCTCCATGCTCCACCATATTTCTGAAACTGGGTGTTACACAAATGATAAGCATGATTCTCTTCTTTTTCGAATTTTTTTAGAGTCATTAAATCATGCAATAATAATTAAAGAAACAAATGATAAGCATGATTCTCTTCTTCATTGAGTCATTGAAGTCATGATTTTACCGATTTATAAAAATAATCATCGATCGGCTCATATTGTATTGTTTCAATAATAGAAAGATCAATACTATGAACCATGAGTCGATAAATAAATATGGTTCTAAAAAAATATATTATGAAAATGTCTCCACCTTTAGCTCGTGCTGATAACGTATTATAAACAGAGAAAAGAGATCGAATAATTGGTTGTCTTATTCCAATGAATAAAGGATCCTTTATATAGGAGTACAAGAGAAGGGTTTTACTTGGTGACAAAGTAAAACTTTGGGTACAAATAATTTTAGAGACTTCTAGAAGATAGACCATATAATGGGCATCATCTGTTATTCATAACACTCAAACAAGTGATATCATTGATGATAGCTTTGAGCTCTTTATGGCTTGCTTTTGAATTGAGGATTGAGATGAGAACTTGGGAATCAGAATAACCTTCTAATTTTCTGTTTGTTAGCTCTGTGTTGTTCCTCAAGGACGACAGAGCATTTCGCAGAGCCAATGCCTCAACAATAAGGGCCGAATCAACGTAGCGGCATGTGTTTGTGAATATTTTTGTGCGTTTCATGCAGGGTCATAAAGGATCCAGCCCTGTCCACATACGCCTATTGTCGCACTCAAAGCTGCATCCATAATCATTTGAAACAATCCTCATGAACTTGCCTTACCACAGCCCTTCCTGATTTAGCTTGTTTTTTTGACGGGTCAACTTGGGCTGATTGCCAGTCTCTCGCTTCACGGGTAGCTTTGCTGATGATGTCCTGCTCCGTGAAGTGACGATCATCAAAAATGAGGCAGTTTCTGGCCTTCCATAGGTTCCATAGGAAGCAGGGTGCATTTGGGGTATATACCAACCCACTGGGAGGCAGTCCCGAAACCAACAGAGCCTTGGGCAAGAAGCTATGGAAAATTTGTACAAACCAGTGGAGATCTGTGGAGAAATAGGGGCTTCGTTCCACATTCTACGAGCAGATGCACAATTAAAGAAGATACAAAGTTCATCTTCTCTTTCCCCGCATCTTTTGCAATTTATGGTTGACATGAGGCCTCTTTTTGCGAGATTGCCAAGAGAGAGAGCTCCACTAGAAGCTTTCCAAAGAAATTTTAAACTTATGGAGCTGCTTTTACATTCTTAATGCATTTGTCCCAGTTGAAAGCATGCGGGGATCTGTGATCAGGGAGGGGGGAATCACGTGCCAAGTGGTACGCTGTTTTTATTGAGTCGAGTTCTGATTTTTCAGGTAGCCACACAAGAGAATCTTTTAAGTGAAAGCTGCTGGTAATTATTGAGCGTATTGAATCCTCATATCGAGGTAATAGATTTTTGATAGCCTCGAGGTTCCAGTCTTTTGTAATTGGACAAAGGAGGTCTTTAACCAGAATGGAGGAGGTCGCAAGAGGACGATGTCCAAATGGAACATGCGGCTGATCAAGGGAGAGCCACAGATCATGCCAAACCCGGATAGATTTCCTGTCACCAATGGACCTGCCTAACTCTTTTCGGAGCAAGTCTCTGCCAATTAGGATAATTAGATAGAGTAGAGAAATTGAGATGAGAGTTAGAACATATTGTAAAAAAATTTGTCAGTTTCCATTTAAAATTAAAGTATCAGAAAAAAAAAAAAAAACTAAAACAATAAGATGGATTATCTAGAATTAAATTTCTAAGTTCTTATCAATTAAAATAGTGTGTGTAGAATTAAACAGTTATTATCATGAAATAAATAGTTAAATTGTATCGCAAAATAGAATGTGTTAGATTGAAATTTTGGTTAAAAGAAAATAGATTAAATAAAAATATATATTAGTATTTAGAATTCAAAAATATTATCAAATATATTTTACTTTTGTAATAGTTAATTTTTTTATTTGCAAAGTGGTTATTTGATTTGTAACTTTGGATTACTATTGCATCTATATTACTATTTAGAAATCAAATATTAATAAAAAATATTTCTATTTATTTCTCACTTTTGCCTATTTAAGCGGACATAATCTAGTTTTATAATAAAATCTGCTCCAACTCACCTCTATTTCACATCTAAAATACATATTGTTATTTTTGCTATATATATAGTGGAACTCTGTTCCTTCTATAATAGTTAAAACTTTTTTTTTATATTTGAAAAGTGGTTCTTTACTTTGTAATTTAGGACTACATAACAAAATTCATCTTAGCAAAGGAAAGAAAGAAAGAAAGAAAAAAGAGAGAGAGAGAGAGAGAGAGAGAGAGAGAGAGAGAGAGAGAGAGAGAGAGAGAGAGAGAGAGAAAGGGAGGAGAGAGAGAGATAGTATTTTTTTTCGCTAAACCGCTTCCGGTCTTCTTGTCCTCACTTTCTTCTTCTCCTTACTTCCGAGATCTTTTGCTGGTTCGTTGGTATCCATATTTTGATGTGGAAAGTGAAAAATGTTTTGATGTGGGAAGTGAAATATGTTTTGATTTGGAAAATGAAATATATTTTGATGTGAAAAATGATAAATGTTTGATGTGTATTTATAATAAAAAAAAAAATCCAGCGTGAGTTGGTAAGTGACATTGGCTGACATTATCATGATGATGTCACATAGAAATTGATGATAACATCTTGATTTTGTCATCGCAAAGATTTATGACATTGTCTTACGTATGTCATTACTCACTATAATGAGTCATCCTGGGCACAAGACAAGTACAGAATAGAAAAATCTAAGAAGAAATGATTGAATCTACGGAGGTGAAAGATGAAGGGTGAAAACGAACCTAATATGTCACGAAATTGAGATGATTTGTTGGAAGAAATCAAGCAATTAGATTGAAACTTGAAAATGGAAAATCGTAGAATGAGGCGAGCCGAGTAGGAGTGGAACTATGGAAGTGTCAAACCTTAAAAAATGAGAAAGACCTCTCTCGAAGTCTCGATTGTTTTTTTGTTATTTTTGTTATTTTTTTCTTATTGGGTTAGTAATTGGGTTATTTGGGTTAAATGGGCTTATAGTTGTAACTAACATTGGTCCTTATAGTTTTAGTTTATAACATTGGGCTTTATAGTTTTAGTAGTTGGGTTTAATGGTTGTTGGACTTTATAGTTTATATGTCTTGTAATTCAAAATGAGGCGAGTAACGGTGCAAGTATCAAAACAGGGTGAGTAACGGGCCAAGTATCAAAAAAAATTATGATACTTGGTATTTGACCCTTACATGCAAGTAATAGAATTTACCTACTTGTTACTTGACTTGACTATAGCGGGTACTTGAATTTTCAAGGCGAGTACGAGCCGAGTAGCGGGTACAAGGTGGGTAACGAGTATTTATGCCCAAGCCTCATAATGACATTTATTTTTTCTATGTTCACTTCTTTCCAGCAGCATAGATTAAACCAAAAAATTGTCCCGTGGTATAATGTTACTTAATAACAATATTTATAAAATTTTAAAATATCATTAACATGCCGCTGCCTTTAATATATATTAAATCTTCAGTTTATTAAAATATAACTGTCTTAGAGAATGATATGATTAGTAAACTTTTATATAATAAATAATCATTAAATTTTAAAATAAAAACAAATCACGGGACGGGTTAAGAAATTACGGAACGAGTTATATTTCGTAACGGGTTTATATGGCGGACGAATTTGAATCAATATTTATATACCGTTTTAATATGGGTTAAATCCTCAGTTTATTAATAATTGTCTCGTGGATTCGTGGTATACCGTTACTTAATATCAATTGTAAACTATAATGTAAATAAATATTTTATAAGTAGATATAATTTAAAAAATATTTTATACTAAATTTAAAAATAAATCATGTAGCAGTGTACCGCAGGTTAAAATCTAGTAATAAATATAGTAGATTTTAATCTAGGTATATACTCCCTGAGCACTTTAATGATGAGTACTTTTTTGGTTATATTTGTAACATTTTTAAAAGGAATAAAATCCGCCCGAAGCACTTTTTTAGAGGAGAAAATCTGGTGAGGCTGTTCCAGAGTTACTAAAATATATTTATACCATTTGCAGATATTTGTCAATTATATCATTTACAGATAATATTTAAACAGTCAATAATATCATTTGCAATGGCAAGAAAAAATCCAGAAAAAAAAATCACAATGGGCGGGAATTAGAGTTAACACCAAACCCTAGTTTTTTTTTTCTTTCCTTTCTTTTCGGCTCAAAATTCTTCAGTAAAACACTTTAATCTCCCCTAATTTTTCTACTCCAAACTAATGTCACAGTTCGTTATTCATCCTCTTCAAAATTAGAGACTAATCCCCTGTAAACAATGGATACAATCTTGTTTGCACTCATGTTTGTGTTTTTACTTGTGTTCTTGAGCAGAGTCCTAACAAAGAACGAGGCCAATTCCAGCGAGGATTTGCTGCCAAAGAGATCGCCTGCGACCTTCCCGCTGAGGACTTCATTACCTCCGGCGGCAGCCTCTTCTCCTGTCTCTTCTCCTGCCTCTTCTCCTGCCTCTTCTCCTAGACCCCAGATATTAAACAACATGAATGTCCAATGATACCGAGAATACAGACACGATACATAAGACTCTTATATATTTTGTAGAAAACATCTATTTATTTATCATATGGCACTATTATTTATAAGACTTAACTAAACTTATGTCAAAGATAAGATGTTCATCATATTAAATATAAATCTTAGTTAGTATCCAAAAAAAAATTAAGATTCAGCTAAAGATTATTTTATAATTAAAAAAGAAATCCATAATTTATTATAAAAATCCAATTATTTCCTAAATATTAAACAGATCTAGCGGTACATATAAGGATCAAGCGGTTCGAATGCTTCAACATATGTGTTTAATTAATGTTGAAAGCGGATCGCCGGTGCGAAATTGTGAAAGCGGATCGCCGGTGCAAATGAAATATTTATTTTGTAGAAAATGTTAATTTTAAATAAAATATTTTACATAAACTATAAATATTAAAAACAGTTGAATTAAAATAAATTTGCAATATTGGTTTAACATATTATTGAACATGCATTAAATTTTTTTATTTATAAATACTATATGTATATAATTAGAAATATTATGTTTTAATTTTCGTAGATATTAAAAATAAGATTGTTTCGTGTAAGACATACTTCAAGACACGTGGAAAATAGCAGAAGTTTAGTTATATCTCTTTCCGCTCTTTGTAGCAGCATGGAGAACTTTTTGAAATGTGAAAAAATAAGTTTTGGATTAGTTTTACAAAATCAAATAAACACTACAATTTTTATTATGCGCTTCTTATTTTACTAATCTTTTTTTATCAAAGGTCATTATTAGATAATGACAAAATTTACAGTTTAAAATGTTTGCTACCTAATCTCTTCTTAGTTGAAGTTTAAGTTTTTCTAAACACACGTGACACTCTCTCCCGTGCAGACGTGGCGGAAGGATGGAGAAAGATAGTCTCATTTCATATTTATGATTATATTTCTAAATAACAAAGGATAATAATATTTATCCACACTTCATAATAACAAACTATCTCTTTATTTTCTGCTATTACGTTATTAAAATGGTATAAACTGTAATATTTTTAATTTTTTAAAAAAACACATTAATTCTCGGAAAATATATTAGTTACAGAATATGTATAACTTTTTGAATAACAAGAAAAAAAAAATCTAAACATTTTTTTAGAAATAAACCAGGAAAAATACTACATTAGGATATATTTAATGTGAGAATTTAATAGAATATGAAATAATATAATATTTAATGTTATTCAATTATGTATTTTATAGTTTCTATTAAATTAATGTGTTATTCAATTTAATGGATTTTAAATTCTGTTAAAACTTAGTGTTATTCAATATTAGGGTAGCTTTGATAATTATGTCATTTGAATGGAATTTAATAGAAATCTATAAAAAAATATGAAGAACCAATTTGTAACACTCCGGTTTCAGGATGATGGTGGTGGATGCGGAGAGGTTTAGAAGAATTAGTTTGGCCACCTATGTCACCAAAGTGCACTTATGTTTTCGAGAAATCCACAGTTAAGCATGCTTGAGCTAGAGCAATTTGAGTTAGAAGAATCCCCATATTAGTCGGAAAACAGTCGCAAATAAGGTATTTACGACCACTTAACGACTAATTCAAATGGTCACTAAAAAATGGTCGCAAAATAAAACGGTCGCAACTTAGTCACTTATATATAGTCGTAAATAAGCGACTAATCTGTGACTAATACAGGTTGTTGCAGATGCCCGACTAAAACACAACTAGGTTTGATTTGAGACAGCTTTGTGACGATATTTAACAGTCTTATCTTGCAACGGTTTTGGGACTAACCCCAGAGTCCGAGTTACGCGACTCATTAGAGACTAAGATTTTTCGTAGGTGAAAAAAAATATTCCCAATTTAGTCGTTGTATATGTTTTTTCAAGATACAACTTAGTCGCAACATAGTTTTTCGTGTTTGCGACCAATGTAAGACTCTTTTCTATAGTCTCATATTAGCAATCAATGTACCACAAGTGTTAGAGTTTGTGTAATTTGGTTTTGTCATAAAATGGTCACAACTTTGTAGATTGTCGATTACAAATATGTCACATGTTTTCAATCATAAACCTAATTAATTTTTGAATTGAAAAGTTATTAAGAAAAAAATACGATTAAAAACAGTAATCAAATTTTCATAGTTTTCATCAAACAGTAATTAAACAACTAGTTTTCATCAAAACCACAAAAGCAACAAAAAGATCAAGTTCATAGGTTAGAAGAAATGTTAGACAACCCCCCCGGTGTCTTTTGAGGTGTCTGCGTTTGGGATGGCTGGTTGGGTGCCTGCAGCTGCAGCTGTTGTAGTCAGTAGAGTACCTGCAGGTAGAGATGTTAATATGGGTAAACCCACCCAGTTTACAGTCCATTTATCTCAACCCATTTAAGTTTCATTAACTCATTTAAACCCATTTAGACCCATATAACATTATTTTGTTTAAACTTTAAACCAATAATATAATCAGTTTTTATTTAATTGATTATTTAAAATGTTTATATTATTTTATTTAAATCAATTGATAAATAATGATATAACTATACTTATTATATTGTTGAAAAATAATATAGTTTTGAGAAAATTAATTTTGCGGTTTTGGCGAAAAAGACTGCAACAAAATTTCATGATTTTTGCAAAAGACAATGTTTTGAGGAAAATCGTTTTTGGTGATTAAACGCAATTTTCGTTTTTGGTGGGAAATCGCGGGTTTATGGTTTTGGCAAAAACCATTATTTTATGGTATGATATGCTTTGGTGATAAAATGCCATTTTAAGATTTTTGCCGAAAAACACGGTTTTGCGATTTTGATGGGAAAACGTGGGTTTACGGTTTTGGCGGGAAAACACGGATTTGCGATTTTGGCGGAAAACACGATTTTATAATTTTGGCGGGAAAACACAATTTTACGGTTTTGGCGGGAAAATACGGGATTTGCGATTTTGGCAGAAAACACGATTTTACGATTTTGGCGAGAAAACACGGGTTTACGGTTTTGGCGGGAAAAAACGGTTTTGGCGGGAAAACACGGTTTTACGATTTTGGCGGGAAAATATGGTTTTGCGATTTTTGCGGGAAAACATGATTTTGCGTTTTGGCGGAAAAACACAGGTTTACGGTTATGGCGGAAAAACATGGGTTTACGGTTTTGGCGGGAAAACGCTATTTTGTGGTATAAAACGTAGTTTTCCAATTTTGGCAAAAAAAACTCGGTTTTAAGATTTATGCGGAAAAATGCAGTTTTACATATTAGAAAAAAAAAAAAAAAAATTGAATTTAAGTTGAATAATTTAGTTTTAATGTATTTAATATATTGCTCTTTTATTTTAGTTATTAAGATATTAATATTTTTTAATAAATATAACTAATTTAAATGGGCTTAAATGGGTACCTATTTATTTGTGTGATAACCCATTTAATAAATGGGTTTAATTGGGGTAACCCCATTTAACCCATTTATTAAATGGGGGTTTCATGCCAAAGTTAACATCATTACCTGCAAGTGTGGTGGTTTCTTGGATGGGAGGTTCAGGTTGTGTAGAAGCAGAAAACAAAAAAGCTGCCAACTCAAGATCTTTATCTTTCATGAAAAGGACGAGCTTCTCCAAACTGGAGATCCGAGATTGAGATTGGTGGTGCTCCTCATCACGTCTTGCATTTTCAGCATCGTGTTCAGATATCTTGCACCGCAGCTGATCTTGAAGCTCCTCAATGGTTGATGTAGAAGAGCTCGCATAACTCTCCTTCTTTTTTCCTTCTTTCAATGTCTCCACAAGCGATCCAAGACCATAAGGGGTACCTTTGTCATCTTTATGAGTACACTAATAAGTGAACAAGAACAAGAAGGATGTCAGATTAGACACAATATCCATTGCTCACTAGACAAAGACAATCAGATTCTAAGCAAAATAAATACATAAATGAATTACCTGAAGAAAGATATCATTCTTTTCATCAATGTTGAGCATACGCTGAGTTGAATGTACAGAGGAATTATTAGAGTTATGAGGACCATCCTCGTCCAATTTAGACATCCTCTCTTCAAGGCCCTTTGCATACGCCTCAGCAACTTCTTTAGATTTTTGATCCACAAATGATCCATCAGCCCTAGTATGTGTTTTCATAAAAACTTCGCCAAGTGATACAGGACGCTTCAACTGTTCCTCCTACAGTGAAACTCAAACAGATTAAAATCATGGAAGCAATATTAGAAAATCAGAGAAGTGATTTGTTTGGATGGAAAAAGAACTCTTACCAGTTCTTGCTAAACTTGCACAAAAGACTTCTGACCAGCTAAGTATTTGTGCACTCCAAGACCTCCACGATCAGAGTTTCTACACTGTGAAGCATTCTCACTCCTCTCAATAGCACCCTCAGTGTTCCAATACTTCCACATCTTAGCCCAAAGTGTACCACGAATCCACTGTGGTTGTACACCACTCTTCTTTGCTTGACTGACAATTCCTTTCAACTGTTTCTTGGTTATCACAAAGAATCCTTCTCTAACGAGCTAACTAATCCCGACATCCTAATTATACATCTGCTACATAACAAGCAGTTAAGTTAGCAAAGATACTAAGTCATATATAGTAAACAATAACATAATGAAAGGTTTATATGACATTACCACAAAACTTCTGAAGTATCTCTCTTGAATGGGTATTGGAGTAACCTTATAACTGAAGTAAGGCCCATCAAACTTCCTCCGAAAGATTTCAGCAATCACTCTAGACAGCTTCCCTTTGTTCCGGTTAAACTTGTAAAAAAAAGACTTGAGTATTAAGTCTATATAAATTACATTTCACTGTAGTTAAGCACTAAGACATTGCAAAAATAACTCCTAATTATATTTATTTCTTGAAATTACAGACTTAAGTTGATGCAAATAACCAACAGAGAGTGAGCGAGAATGAAATGTATTTGATTAACAACAGAATCAACTAAGATAAGTCTCTAAACTTCAAGTTGAATTGAAACACAAAGCTTTAGTCATAAATAGAGAAGAAAGTCTAAAAGCTTGAAGACCAAATCACCAAATTATTGCAATTAAACCATGAATCTATCAATGAACAAGAACTTGACCCAACACAGAGACAACAAAGATTTCCAAACCAAACATGGACAACAAACCAAAATGTTAGATAAACACTAAGCTTTCTACTAAAGGACATGACTACATTATTTGCAAATGTTAAAAAAACAAAGATAAACTGATGGTCAATCACAAACACAGATGCTCAAAAACAATCACAAAATCAGAAGATCAATAACAAAATGATCAATCACAATCACATAAGTTATGGTCAATGAAAAAAGGAGAGAAGGAAAGAGATTACCAGAGAGTCTTAACTCTAGGGATCGGGTTTCGAGACAGAACTGGAAAATGTTCTCGGCCTGGAAAGGCTAGCAAACGATCCAACAGTTCTTGGTAGTCGACATTTAGATCTCCATTTTGTTGTTGAGGGGGAATTGGGTTATCTTCGCCTACTTCTTCCTCATAGTCGTCTTCGTTATTTGGGTTTAGCTATGGTGGTATGAACTGTTGCTCTAGTGGATCCTAACGAGGCTATTGTTGACAAGGAAGAGGCTGTTGTTAACGAGGAGGAGGCTGATGTTGACGAGAAAAAGAAGGCTGATGTTGACGAGAAGAAGAAGGATGTTGTTGACGAGAAGAGGAAGGCTACTATTGACACCAAGGAGGTTGTTGTTTTCGACGAGCAAGAGGTGGTTGTTAAGAGCCAGCAGGTGGTGTTTGTTGAGGGCAGCAGGCGGTGCTTGTTGAGAGGTAGCAGGCGGTGTTTGAAGAGTAGGAGTCGAGGGTACTTGTGTCGCCGGCAGATAGTGGGAAGGACGACTTCCCTGTGACTAGGTAACAGACTGTGTCGCCGAATTGGGGTTCGACGAGTGAGAAGAGGCTCTGACTCCACTCGCACCTAGTAGAGATTTTGACCATGGTAGACTCTGGGACCACGGTTGGTCGATGATGCGTGTGATTTTATCATTTCAATCTTTTACCTCAAAATACCAAACGACTACTGCAAGTGCACAGTTAATCGGTTGTAGTATTTAAGAATCGAATCCCACAAAGAGAGAAGTAGTTCGGACTAATCCGTTAGAACAAAGTATAGCTAGGAAATAACAACAAAAGAGGGGTTGTTGTGGTGTCACGGTTGCAAAGTAAAGTAAATAAGAAAGTGGTAAATAAAGCAAGTAATCAATAAGAGACAAATGGCATCAAGGGTATCACAGGGGTTTCAATGATCATTATCTAAGAAATACTATAATTAGGTTTGTTTACTTCCAAGTCTCGGACATACGAAACACTAAGATTCGGCTTAACCTAGGTTATAGGATAAGTCGGATAAAATCCTTATACTCTGTTACTCAACCTATACAGGCAACGACTCATATATCAAAGCAATAAGATCAAGTTCCATTCTAGTCCACAAAGCCCTATAACTAAGTGGTGTGTGCTTGTTATAACACGATACACATTCGTAAGTTAGGTTCGAGCGAATTAAGCAACCTTATGAGCAACTTAACACTTGGGATCACGAGTTAGGACATGAATCTAACTACATGCATTAAGAGAAAACTTACTTAGAAATAATCGCCACCTAGACGATCGATCATGTCCCCCCTTTGATTAACCCTTTAAACCCAAATAGAAAACTACTCTAGCATGGTTAAAGAGATCATCAAAGTAAGGTTTTATAAACTCATAAGAAAGAGATGAATAATAACTGAATAGGGTTTAGAGATTACATTTTTGAATGTAGAATACAAGATGTAAGACTTCACCTTAATAGATCTTAGAGTAAACAAGAGAAAAGAGAGAGATTTGGTGTCTTCAAAGCTCTCGGTCGACGGCTGCAGCTCACGGCGAGGGCAGGGACGAACTCGGTGAAGGGCTGGAGAGGCACGAAGAAGCACTCCTAGGTTTAGGGTTTTCACAGGGTATTTATAGGTTTTGGAGACCAAGGAATCGGTTTAGGGGTAAAAGCGTCTTTTTCGTGAATTAGGTTAAGTGAAAACTCGAGTTCCTGGACAGGGTAGAAGGCTTAGTGACCGGGGTGGAGAGTGAGAGGCAGCCCGGCCTCGGGCCTTGTGACCGGTGCAGCCTAGAAGCTCCGTAACGGTTGCATAGTTTCTAGCCAGTCTGGATATGTCTTCACTCTTCTGGTCATAACATCCGAATGGCTCTTTGAAATGCTCTGATTTAACTTTGACGCGAATCTTGACTCTTCTAGCTTTCTACAACCACCTATATTTCTTGATTTGGTAATGGGGAAGACCTCTAACGGACGCTATACTTCTAATATATAGAAACTGTCTTGAAACGGGTTTTGATCCCCTTTTGGTCTTTAAAGCTCAAAAACTCTTAAAACCTTCTTGACTCCATAAATATTTGAATAAAACCTTATTGGCTCTGAAATAATTCCAAATGCTCCCTAAAACATAAGAAACCAATAGCAAATATGGGCGAAAATCCCAATTTATCAGTCGATTTGCCTCCGCGACCTCTCATTGATTTCCTTCGACAGGAGCCATTAGAGACAATCCAAAGAGGAAGAAACGAAAGATGGATTCGAAAGAGAAAGAATCGGATTAGGGATTCGAAAGAGAAAGAAGCAAAAAAGAAGAAGAATCGATTCAGGGAAAGAGGATAAAGAATCGATTCAGGGAAGGTGTGAAAGAGATGAAGGATTGAAAGAGAAGAAGAGAGGAGTGATGAAACCCTAGATCGAAGAGAGAAGAAGAAGAATCGATTAGGAGAGAGGTGAGAGCTCTGGTTTAACCATAGATCAAGAGTTGTATAATGAAAAGTGGAGTTCGTGCTTGTCTAGTAATGAACGAAAAAGAGTCTCTCTTTGGTTGCAAAAGAATCACAACATTAATTATTTGGAGGGGAATATTAAGCGCCCAAATACTTAGGCAAAATTTCATAATATTTAATAAAATTGAAAACGTCGCAAAAGATTGCAACATAGATCAGCAAATAGTCACAAAAATTGTCGTAAAATGGTCACAATATAGGTACAAGTCGCGGTAATGTCACAAACTAGTCGCAAAGTGTGACTAAGTTGAGACTGACAATAAAACGTCACAACACAAAATTTTGATGTCTATGGATTTTGATTCACTCTATTGATGGAAATCACTCATAAACACTCACTTTAGTAGCATAGAGTACATATATAAGTGTTAGGTTGGTCAAACTTTGCTTTCTCAACTTATTTTAGAAATTTTCCGAAATTCCCTATCATGTTCATAAAGGAACATGATTTGTTCATATGGATTTGGAACTTTTAAATGTTTGGATTGTAAACATTGAAATTCAAGAGGTTGGTTAAGTCTTTTTTAACTCAACCAAATCAAAGTAGTAATGTATAAGAAAACATGTAAACAAACCTCAATTTAGAAATTTCGAATTGAAAATATCGAGAGTTGGTAATATGTAGCAAAGTAGTCGCTAATCTCAGGTGTTAGACGCTAAAGGGTGGCAAAATAGTTAGGCAAAATTTCATAAAATTTAACAAAAAATCGAAAACGTTGCAAAACAGTTGAAAAATTGTCGGAAATAGTCACAAAAAATTGTCGTAAATTGGTCACAATAAAAGGTACAAGTCGCGATAATGTCACAAACTAGTCGTAAAGTGTGACTAGTTTTGACAGGCAATAAAACGTCACAACACAAAATATTATATCTGTGGATTTTGATTCACTTTATTGATAGAAATCACTCATAAACACTCACTTTAGTAGCATATAGTACATATATAAGTGTTAGGTTGGTCAAATATTGCTTTTTCAACTTATTTTAGAAATTTTCGAAAATTCCCTATCATGTTCATAAAGGAACATGATTTGTTCATATGGATTTGGAACTTTTGAATGTTTCGATTGTAAACATTGAAATTCAAGAGATTGGTTAAGTCTTTTTTAACTAACTTCAATCAAATCAAAGTAGTAACGTATAAGAAAACATGCAAACAAACCTCAAATTAGAAATTTTGAATTCAAAATATCGAGA